GCCCCGACTTCCATTTTCGTTGTTTTCCAGTTCATGATTTTCCGCATGTCGCTTCCGAAGCCAGAAATAAGATTCAAGAAACCCAGGCTCATGAAGAGGAAAAACGGCGAATTTTCGCCGTGAAACAATGGAAAAAGAAAATCCAGATATCCAGCCAGACTGACAAGAAATTCGTCTTCTCATGGCTTAAAGGGAAGCATGCTGGCCCCCCAAAGTGTTTTTTGAAAGAGGATAACGAATTCACGGCTTCCCCAAATGAAATGCTGGATATGCTTAGCGACCACATGGAAGATATATACAACGAACACGCGGGGGTCGATCCCCAGAATATGTTGAATAGTGCTTTACGCACATATTCTGGTGCCATTGATCAACTTCATCACCCTGCAAATATCCCAGATATTGATCATCATGATGTTTTTAAGCTGTTTCAGAGAAAAAGTGAATGTAAGGCCGGCGGATTCGATGGGTGGAAAACTAAGGAACTCCAGGCATTACCCCCATGTGGTTGGGTTGGGTTTACTTTTGTCATGCGACTTGCTGAAGCCTATGGAGTTTGGCCTAAGGTTTTAAGGATGGTTGCTGTCACCGCTATTTCCAAAGGAGCACCCATTTCCTCCCCCCAAAATGTGCGAGCAATCGGGGTATCTTCTGCCATTTATGGAATTTGGAGTTCGTTGAGGTTCCGACAACTTGCCCCATGGATGGCACAAGTTTTCCCCAACAACTTATTAGGAGGAATTCCGAATAGGCAGGCCTTCGAATCTGAATTGTCATTATCATTGGACTTCCACGAAAATAATTTCCGGGATGACCCCATTGCAGTCTTTATTGATCGAACCAAATGCTTTGACCTTATTTTACCAGAATTAGCCATGGGTTTGGCCTCTTCTCTGGGTATCCCTGACCAAATCTTTCGGGCCACCCTCGCATTTTATCACCACCAGGTAAAAATCTTCAAACTTGGGAATGCCTATGGTAGAAAAGTAATGGGAACAAATGCTGCTGTGCAAGGCTGTTCTATGAGCATCATTATGGTCAATTCAATGTATGCAATCCTTTCAGCGCATCTTCAGCGATTGTACCCCAAAGTTTCATCAGCATGCTTTATTGATGATGTGAAAATTTGGGCTAAGGGTTTGTTTTCCTCCGATCTTGAAAAGGCATTCAATGAACTTGTTGCTTATGACACCGCAGTAGGACAAAAAGTAAACTTCGATAAAACATTCTTGCTAGCCAGAAAAACAAAGAAAGCAGAAGAATTCTTGCGGCGTGTCCGGGTCAAAGTATCAAGGAAGACAGTTGCGAAATCACTTGGGTTTACCCACCGTGTTGACCGATTGAAATCCGCAGCATTCCAAAATTCTCGGGTAGAATCAGCTTTTCGTTCCCTGAAGAAACTGTCTTGTTTACCATGTAATGAACATGACATGACGGGGTTCATCCATTCTGTTGCCCATTCTAAGTGGTTGCACGGTGTTGAATGCCAATTACCAAACAATACGAAGCTTGACAAATTGAGAAAGGCAGTGGTTAAGGCGTTGTCAAAAGGCTTAAAAACCAATAGGTCCCCTTATCTTATTTTGGCCACTGGTCATGACCCTTTTGTTGATCCTGAAGCTGCCGCTTTCAAACGAATTTTATCTAGACTAAGGGACCTGGCCTTTAAGGATCCCGCAGCTGCTGCTCGGCTCGTGAGCAGCGCCAAAGAGAAACGTCAGACTTGCTCAGCAAATTCCAATGGAGCGGCCAATGTTCTGGCTGTCGTCTTCAGCCGGCTCAAGTGGTCGTTCCGTGAAGACGAAAGCATGACGTTTTCCCGGCCAGGTGACACCCCGATTGATTTACTCTACGGATCAAAAAAGAATTTTCACGAGGAACTTGCAAGATCAGTTCGTGTAATGTTGTTGGCCCGTGTCCCAGCTAGGCACGACTGGCAAGGCGAACTTGATCTCCACATCGATATAGCCAAAACACGCATTCTCGAAGACGCTTCTTTGGCGTCTTTTTCTGACAGACAACTTGCGCAGGATGCAATTCAATTCTTGCCAAAGAATCATGCCTACACGAAGTCCCTACTGCGGGCCCTGAGGACTGGCAGTGTTCTTACTAGAGCACGATGCAAAGCCGCAGGGATTACTACGGATGATAAGTGTGAAGGATGCGACCAAAGAGAAGACCACCTTCATTTATTCAAATCGTGTGGTCTCTACGAAAGGAATCGACCTTCAAGTTTCTTCCATGACACAACGTGGTGTACAGGCATTTTCCCAGAAGGTGAACTAATCACCCAGTGGCGGCAGGAAGTTGTCTCTAGGCCCGTTCTTCCCATGGAGGATTTTCAAGCTTTTGAGCCTGAAAGTCCAATTTTTGTTGATGGCTCTTGTTTTCATCACTCTTGGGCACCTATGAGATCTGCTGCAGCAGCCGTTGTTTCGAAGTGTGGATGCTCAAAAGCTTATCTCCTACCAGGCCTTGATCAAACAAGCCAACGGGCTGAGATATTTGCAGTCATCGCAGCTTTGTGGCACTGCGCCGGAAATATCACAATTTATTCCGATTGTGCAAATGTGGTCAACATTGTCAATTTCTTACGACGCTGTGGCTTCTCAAATAAATGTATCACCAATCTTGACAATCGGGATCTGTGGGTTTTGTTCAATTTTGTGGCCAACAAGCGAAGCCAGCCTTTCGCGATGTATAAAGTAAAAGCCCACTGTGGTAAACACGACCTTTGTCAAGATCCTTTTCTCACCGAAGGTAATTCTTGTGCTGACAAGTTAGCAAAAGATACTGCCTGGGCTTTCCTCGAAGCCCGCCAACAAACGGCCTGCGAAGAACTTGCATTGGCCATGTCATTGCAGGCCCATTTGGTCCATACGTTGGCCACACGTAGTTCGCTCTTCAAAATGTTACCAGCGGAGATACCAGCGGGGCAAGATTTTTTTCCCCATTACAAGGTGTTGACTTCATCATTTGTATGCTCCTGCGCCCCCAAAACTCGGATTTTTTCTAAGGGCTCTGTTTGTTCTGGGACGTGTCGCCCACTGGTAATCCGTGCCGGTGATGCCGAAAACATGTTCATCTCTTGTGTTAAACGAGGCGAACCAATTAGTCCTTTTATCAGAACTAGAGTATCTTCTCACCATAACAGGTATATCGCCATCGCTTATCCCCAAGAAATGTGGCAGCCATTAGTCACAAGTCCAGATCCTGCATTTTTGGCTGCCGGACCCATGCGGCTTAGCCCCAGCGCAGCTGGCGCTATTTGTGAATTTTTCTCCCAATCGGCATGGGTCGTTGGATCGCATAGATCCATCCATAGAACGTCGTGGGTTGAAATCATGGCAGATTTTGTTTTCCAGTTTGGATACTGTCCGGGTTTCATAAATCAATCCATGACTTTGAAAGTGCTTGTCCAAAGGTTCAAGCGAGCTGCCATGCGACTGTTCCAATCCCACCAGCTGTCCATTAATGCCCTGAGATCTACACATTTGTTGAGTTTTGGATTTTGCCACGTAGCTTCCCTGCACATTTCTCGTTCATTCCATTTTCCGGATCATATCTTCGCTTTCTTGATGGGGTGTGCCTCCAGATTTGCTGCAAAAAATAATCCGCTCAATTTTGTGCCACCTTTACATGAGTTCTTTTGATTGAGTGATGCTTGCATTCAAATTAAATGGCATTCGCCTACGCCGTCTTCGCCCAGTTTCTTAGCTTGGAGGTGGCTGCGTTGTTGGAGAAAAAAAAAGTAGGATATCACTTTTTCTAGCCATGTTTATCCTTTTTCTGGGAGTTGGGTTGCCTTTTGTTGTACAGTATAACTCTTTTCACAACCAATCAACAGGCCTAGTTTTGGGCGTCTCGCACAGCCCCATTTGGAACCAGGGTCCCAACCACATGGGTCCCCTTTTTGTCGCTGGGCAGCCACACACCCAAGCTACGCCACCTGCGGGCAGAGCCTGGCTGCATTGGGTTTACCTTAACATGATAGAACAACTTTGGTGAATATGTCATTGGTTGCCACCAAATTATGCCCTTATATTTACTATATAATTGAAGTGTTTGGTAGGTGTGTGACTTTTAGTGTATGCAGTTACGTGTGTATATCTATTTATATGGCAGTGTGTCAAAACCTTGTACCCCTGTAGTTCACATCAAAATAGCTGGGATTTATGGATGTTCATCCCACTAAAAATGGTACTAATAGGTATTGATCCATACCCATATATTATATATTGATTTATAAATGTGTTCTACCCACATGAAGGTCGCCCCAACATAGTTAGATCCTTCGTCAGTCGTTGCTTCGCCTGAAGTCTCGCCACCAATCCTTCCAGCAGCGGTAGGAGCCTGGGATGAATCGATGATTCCTATGGGTCCTATGGACAAAACCTGGAAGTCTTGGAGGCTACCCCATGTGTCTGTAAATTCCATCTATATCCTATCCATATCCTATCCGTATCCTCTATGCATCACTGCTTCAGGGACCCTATGGAAGTGTCAGTGGGGTCGACCGGTTACCTAGGACTCTGGCTTCTCCTGCATTGCACGGAGCTCCTGTGACCGACACTACCAGGAATTCGTTCATCCCTATACCAAGCTCTCCAGCCACCCAAAGGTTGGGCGGAAAGGCTTGCAATCTAACTCCTTTCTTCAACTTGAGTCTGGAGTGGATGGGCCCAATCAATAGTCTAGGATCAGAGATCACCAAAATTCACCAAAGCACTTTGATCAGTGGACAATCAGTGGACAAAGCACTTGGCAATCCCCGGGTGTCAGGAGTCAGGAGCCTGACAAATGCCTGTCACCCTATCACTGTCTCGCCTTTTTCTGTAACGCGGAAAGCACAGACTTGCCGCGAGAACTTCTTTAGCTCGGAGCACGTCCACACGGTTTTCCACGCGCTTTTCCGGATGCCCGAATTCCATCTAACGTGAGAAACCCAATATAAACCTACCATTTGGGGATGGTAGTTACCATCCATTCATAGCTATTTTGGGGATGGTTTATTATTGGGTTTACCACATTTAATCTACTTGGCTATCTACTCTTTGAGGAAAGAACTTCCTCATGCACTCATGGCCGTCAGGACTTCTTCTCCTTGTCCTCCGCCTTTCTTGCCTTCTTTGCTGACTCATAGAGCAGCAAAGCAATCCTCAGGGCTGAAACTTGGCTCGTGACAGGCCACGGTGTGTGTTTGTTTTCTTTCATGTGGCGTTTCAAAGATATCCACTGCTGAAATGAGGTCCAAATATTCGATGTGATTTGTCTTCTCAAAGCAGTGCCGTGACCGCCCAGTTTTCAGCGAGAAGCGTTTTATATCGTTGTTTTGGCGCTGGGAACGCTGGCCTCTCTTTATCTTTTGATGTTTCCATGAAGATGTTTGTCAATGTGATGCAGCTTAAGCTGGGCGAGGGAGAATTAAACACAAACTCACCGCGCCAGCAGCAAGTCCATCTGTGAGTTTCCTTCTGACAAAGGATTGAACCATGAAAATTCACAAAAACTCAATCCTACAACTATCACCATTGATGTTCTTGTCCCTCTGTACTGGTTGATTGATGATAGGGATTCCCCTACTATCACCATTGATAGATGATTTTCTCATGAAACCCTCCATTTAGTTCGGGGCTTGTCCAGCTCTGTTCCAGGGCTAAGCGTCGGTGCAACGATGACGAGTACAGAGCCAACCAGCGCCGGCCTTGGCGCGCTGCTTAGGCGGACTCCGACGAATTGGGGTAGCATTCGGAGATCATCATATAGAGGTGTCCTAAAATCCTAAAATAGTGGTACCCAAATCATCCAGATGTTTGACAATTTTAGTATTGAAACCCATGGTGACTTGGGAATTGTCCAATTTTAGGAAATCTCTATATATCTAATGGCTAGGGAAGCATAATACAACCTAGCATCATCCCGGAAGCCCTCCCCAGGATCGTGATGAATGTGGACTACGCTGTCGCAATCAAGCCATGTCGGTGTGACTTTCAATGAGCCCCTTTCATTGGATCAATACATTGACACTGGTAGAAGGGGAAATCCTATTTCCTCCAAGGGATTTACTCCTCGCCAGGATCCGTGGCAAATCCAAGACAGGACCGCCGAGGTGCGCCAAGACGTGTGGCAAATAGAGCTGCAAGGGGTGATCTGCTCTCAGCTTCATGGCTTTCAGCGCAGCCTTCAGCCCTGGCAGCTTTCCAGGAATGGATTATTGGAACCCCATGGAACCCCTACATATTTGCAAGTATAATTCCATAGAATCATCAATCAAGAGGTTTTGAACACTGTTCAGCTACATTTGGACTATTTAATGCACTAGTTAAGTCCGTCAAAGCAGGGTCAAGCTAGGTCTTCAGCTACAAGCAGAACACAATCTGGGCATCGGTTGAGTCCGAAGCTCGGTTTGGTTGATCAAAAAAGTCATTCAGAGACTGACTAGTCATCTTGCAATTTGATTTCTTGCAATTTGATGACCAATGATCGAAATTGATCATTCTATTTTCAGGTGATTTTACAATGTCGACCTGGGTTCCTCAAAGTTTGATAAAGTGTCCAGCTGTTCTGGTTTTGAAGCTGTCAATACGACACCGCCAAGGTGCCAAAACGATAGAGACCTTGGTTGCGCCAGCGAAATGTGTGCAGTCAAATGTATTGGCTGTCAATTACATTGGGATAGAGGCTGACAGAGAGAGAGAGAGGGAGGGATGCAAATAAATACAAGAATATATTATATGAGAATCATCTCTCTTATGCGTTTGCGCTCCAGTATGCGCATGATAGGTGCTGCATGCAAGCTCCTATCATGTCAATGCTCAGGTCAGGGGCCAAAGATGGGATGGGGGATAATTACACCAAACTTTATGGCAATGTTGAAGGGGAAAATGACGTTCCATGCCAGAGGACTTGGGTCGTTTACCATTTTAACCCATTTAAATTGTCATTCAAACGACAATGGTGAAATAACTTTTAGATATTCTGTAATTAATACGCCCCGGTGATTTAACATAGCTATGGATATGGATATTGCCCATTTAGTTCGATGATGTAATGATGTATGATGATGTTTACCTTTTTTAACATGGTGATTTTCCAGTTTGCTGCCTTCAGTAACCGGAGGGTATTACTGTAATCATAGCGAAGCACACCCCAGAGGACATGTTTGGACCCATCTCGCCTTGGGCGAGACCGCCAAGGGACTTCGAAGGCGAAGGTAGTGTCTGTAGATGAAGCCTACCTCATAGTGTGCCGGGGAAAATTCCATGAAATTGGAAGAAATTGGTTCAAGACTGTTCAAGACATGCCAAGAGGTACCAAGATATTAATATACCAAGATAGGCCAAGATGATATACAAAGTATATACAATTATAGGGAGATTGGATGAATTGAGGAAAACATTGGAAAATGAAATGAATTTGGATAACATAGCTGATTATATAGATGATGAAATGTGTACCTTAAGTTCTTTTTTAGCTACACTCCAAAGGTCACAAGTACCCGTATATACCCTGAAACAATCCAGACGCTGTCTTGGCATGTCTTGGCTCGCCAGGCGGCAGGTAGATGAAGAGCATCAAAGGACCATGCGAAGTCGTAGACATCGTCAAACTCCCAGGCATAGTGCTGATATAGCTGCTTGCCATTCGCAAAGACCCACAGCGATGGAACCTCAGGGTGTGGTTATGTATGGTTATGTTACAGTATGTTGGGTGCCAAATCCAACTTCAATGTATTCAACCAACCCCCCCAAAGGTGACGCCACCAAATAAGAACGGTCCGTTTCAGGGCGTGTTCACCACCAACAACAACTAATAAGGGCGAAATAACAGTCCACTATCGCGGGAGTTCACCTTGGTTGCTGTCCAAGTTGCCATTTTGATCTCATATTGCTTGAACAGCGCGTCGTCCCTGGGTCTGCAGGAACATGAGGGAAAGGGAAATCATGAAGTCTGGTTCTTGCATCGAACACTGTTCAAGTGGTCCTCTTAACGAGCCATTCTCAGATTTACGCTAGTCAATTACCCACAACAATCCGTCACTTCATCTGTCCCATCCTTTTTCAATCCTCCACTTCTCGGGATTCCCGGCTGAGTTTGTACCAGGAGCACCTTGCTCTTTGTGGCCGCCAGCCGCTCGGCTGCCCTATGGTACTCCGGCTTCAAGCGCTTGCCTTGGCGGAGATCCCTGGGCATCACACTTGGTGGGCAAAATGCATGAAACAATGGCTGTGAGAATGGGGTTCACCTCCAAATCGGCATTTCTTCTGCCGGGAATGAGGATAAACCATGATAAACCATGATAAACCATGAAATTTGGGAGGGTGCCCTATTTTCAAACAACCCCATATGGTAAATCTCCAATTGTGGATGCTTCAGGCCACCCATTTCTAGATTTCTAGTAAAATTGGGATGGCTGTGATGATTCATCATAGTCATAGGGTTTGCCATATTACTGGAGTCGTAGGCAACAACTTCAACTGAAAGGTGTAGGAATGCGGGCGGGGGGTTGGTGTTTGATATAGCTTGACCCTATAGCCTATAGGACTACCAACATCTACCAATCACATACCAGTATCAATGGGTTTGTCGAAAAATAGCGCCCTCAAAATCCAATAATTTCTCTTAAATGGTCCCTTTAGGCCGTTGTGGGTTATCCCCCATTTCTGGACTACCCCATACAGGTGACATTCTTGAATGTTTCAAGTATGGGCCCTGCCGCACTAACAAGCTGCAATGTCCGCACCAGCTTCTGTAGAACATGGTGATCACCACCTGCCCAAATCAAAGGCTGTCACAACATTGACATCCTGAGATCGATCACGGCTAAAGCTTCCTGAGCCTCGTTCTCTGCAAGCAGGTCGACAAAACTGGCATTGGATGCTTCTATCACCGCTCCATTGACCTCAGCTTTCACATCATTGATGGCTCCTCTTGGTGGTCTCGGTCATCTATGGTTAAATGGGGAGTCGAAAGCCTGTTTCCCTAGTGAACATCTAAAATAGCTGGTATTTGTGGATGTTCATCCCCAAAACAAACTGTTTTTGCATGTTTTTGCAGATATTGATCCATAGCCCATAGCCAAATTGATCAAACACCCATGCAAGGCAGCATCCTAACAGCCGAGTCTGGGCTGAACCCTCTCTCGGGCTACCCAACCGGTACAACAAGGGCCGCGAGCTGGAAAAGTCGCACGCCCCAGCTGCCCCAGTTGCCGTTGCGAGGATGCCCCATCGGCAAAAGCACGAGGCTTGGTCTGCTAAGGATGTGTTTCAGCCACTTTTTTGCAGAACTCCCGGGTTTCTCGTAACCTTTGCCGAGAGGCTATCACTGCTGTAAGTTCTTATGTTGCAGGACCCTGATGTCTTGCCAATGGTATCAATGGCTATTGGAAGGAGGAGGGGGGAGGATGATCACGTGGTCGAATCTTGACCGGTGCGGCTACTGTTTTGACTGTTAAACGCGAATCCCACAGAGAACCAAGTCCAAAATTCGATGTCAACCCACGGCAAGCCAGGCCCTTCCGCAAACCGGGCTTTTTTGCGGATGATCATACTAGTGCCAGAAAGCGTGGTAAGTGCAGTTAGCCCTATCCACGTCTATCTGCACAGCAACCTACTGCAGTTCGATGCTTTGGTCCAGAGGTTTCGCCATAGAAAACTGCATAGGATCAAGTCGTGCCTACCAGCAGCCACAGTACGCAATTTGCATTTCTGTGCCAAAGGTAGACATGCCTTTGAAGGCTGTGCACATGCCCAGTTTATCATGCGAAAGGCCAAATCTTCCCAGTTGTTGACCAAGTCCACACGTGCTGTCACTAGAACTGTGGGAGAAGGACTTGGGATCTTCAAGCCCGGCTGCGACTTTCAAACCCTGGACGGGTCAGGACCTGAGGTGACCTGGGATCACAATTTGGCTTGTCCCAAACTATGGGACATTAGACCAACAACATGCTTTGTTTTCAAAAAAAAAGCGAACATACCTGACATACCTGACATACCTGACATGCCAGAGAATGGGAAAATCCTGATCAACAGTGGGCTTTGGTGGCACCCTTTTTTCAAACAAATCCGACACTTTTTCGTTTCTTCACCACGGATTCGCAGCGCCTCTTCCAGGTAGCCATGCGTAGCCTTCAAATTGGGGATGGACTTAGCAGACGCCGAAGACATCGCTGGTCAGAACAGAAGAGTCTTACGAAGATCTACGAAGCATCGCTGAAAACATGGAAAACCTGCTGGAAAGATTTCTGTGCTCTGCTCAGTGCCAAGAGGTGGAGCCCTGGGCATCCTGACTCAAGGAGTTATTCCGCAGCAAATCCCGCAGAGCATGGATACTCGAGACCACAGCTAGAGTCAGAGGTTGATCATTGTCTCCTCAAATGATTCACTCAAAATCGTGCTGAGAAGGCATATACTTTGCCATTGCCGGAGTCTTCTGGTCCATTTTCCGCTATATGGATTGTGGGGCCATACACGCACGTACCTAAACATCCTAAACAAACGTCTCTCTGGTGGATTGGGTTCTGCAGTCTGCATCAGGCAAACTTTTGGCACTCCTTTGATCCCGGGTTAGATCTCAGGAATCTTTGACTAGGGGTGAGACAGGTAGCTTCAGTCCAAGAAAGATATCCAGATTTTATATCTTATATGATTCTATCATATTCCATCTAAGCATTCAGAGGCTGCAATATTAAAAACAAGTTCCAACTTCAGCGCAATTCAAGGACTGCAAACTGACAACGACCTTCGTGTAACCTACACCAGGCTGGTTCCCACCTTTGGAGGGGTCAGCCAGGGCGGGGGGTTGGGCCGTTCAATCGGGTCCAATGACCGAGCGCTGCAGGATGGTGCTGAGATGCTCAGCCATTTTCGCCTGGCCGGCAGCAATGCCAAGGCGCACAGCACAGTCCTTCTCGGCCTCGTGATCACCTGAGTTGCCAGAGGACATGGGTGAAAATATGGAACATACTCCCAGTAGATTTTTTTGTCCTGGTAAATTGACCATCCCCAAGTGGATGTTGAAGAGGGTCAAAGCTGTGTGAAACAAACACCCGAAGCAAAACCCTTCACGTGTCGTCCACGACAATTTTGCCATGGATAGTGAAGGTGCTGCATGTAAATTGACCCATAGATTTTTGTTTGAGAAAAAACATCTTCAAATCCAAGAAAATTATCCAAGTCACCTTGTGCTCTGGCACACTCGATGGCCTGCTGGAAGTATTCGATGCTCTGTTCATTTTGACCCTGCTGACTCGCCAAAATGCCCAGTTTCTTCAGGGCCACAGCTTGGTTGCGGGTCTGTTTCAAGACACCACAGAGGTCCACGTAGCGCTCCACCAAGATCTTCATCTTGTCCGGCTCCTGATCATACATCCCTGCGCTGAAGCTCAGGCTTCCAATGGCTAAACTCTGACCCTCCAAGCTATGCAGCTGCAAGGCGTATCTCAAGGCATATTGATGATTCACTGTGGAAGCTTCACGTTCCCCCAGCTGTGCATAGGCCAACCCCATATTGAGGTGTGCCACGAACTTTCCGATGCTGTCAGCATTCTCACGGTGCCTGTTGTGGTAGTAGATTGCCTTTCTGAGCAGCTCAGGCTTGATCGTCTTCTCGGAGGGTGACCCCAAGATCTCTGTGGCACCACTTTTCTGCTTGTCTTCCGCTTCTTTGGTCACCCCACTGCCCTGCAGCTGGTAATCTACCGCAATGCAGTGATATCCCAAGGCCGCACCCTGGCTATCATTGCATTCCTTGCAAACTCTCAGGAACCTTGGATTGCTTAAGATGGCCCAAAAAAAAGTCATATATTCTCAGAAGGTTCCCCGAATAGTTGACTAATGAATTGGGAAATGAAGGCAATCCATGCAAATCCAAGGAACTGGGTGTAGGCCTCGATGGCCTTCAAATATTGTCCCAGATTATCTCGCAGAACGCCCAAGGAGAAGTGCGCTCGGCCTTCCTCGCGCAACTTGGAAGCACGACGGCAAGCAAAAGTCAGCATTTCCTGAGTTGGACACGGCTCGACCAAGTGCCCAGTCAAGCCGGCTTCATGCGCAAAAATGTTGAGGGTGATCCTATCACTGTTAAATTAAATGGGGGAAATGGAGTTCGACGATCGAATCATAGCTAATCATCATGGGATCCATCTTCCCGAACTCCCGAACACGTTCAAAAAGTGCAGGAATGAAATGGAATAAAGTTTGCCTGAAAGCACCCAGTTTCTAAATCTTTGATCTTCCGTATGGAAGTGCTTCTCTCTTCTGGGGACAGAGGTTCTCCATCCGGTCGCCTTGCAGGAGTGTTCAAGTAGCCTGGGAGCTCGATCCGCTGCGGTTGCAGCATGCCGGGTGGGCGATATGCCACACCTGCTCCAGTTGCCGCAGTGCTGGTGCTGGCCGCGACCTTATCCGTGATCTCCTGGGGTCGTAAGCGACTGCTCAAGGGCTGCCGCGGCGACGAGTTCCCAGTGCCTACGGCCCGGCTGAGACGGGGCCCGCTTGGAGTTGAGTTGGCACTCAAGGGACGTCGCATGGACCAACCGCTGTGCGATTGACCTGACTGTGAGAGAAAATGCCATCGTTTTTGGAATTCCTGTGTCCCCACGAAGCCATCTATAACATAAAAGTGTCTTGGGGAAAGAGTTACACAAATACGTCATATCTTCATGCTTCGAGCCGCGCATTTGCAACGGATTCCTCATCTGTCCAGATTGAAGGGCACGCTGAAGGCCCACCCGTGCTGGCTTGTAGGATCCCTCATAGTTCATGGGCAGCTTCTCGGTTTCGCCCAAGGTCTTGGGCGATAACGGTGCCAAGTCCAAGACGCTGCTCATGCTGCTTTGCGACGCATGCAAGGAATGCATCATATCTGGGGCCATGGAGTCGCCAAGAATGGCAACCCAACGAGGTGCTATTTTGACCAAGTCACATGTTCTTCCGTTGTTTCTTCAATCATGCATGTTCCATGTTTGTCAACTGTTGCCCCTCAAGAGCTATTTGTGAAATGTGTTGGAAGTTGCTGGCAAAGATTGGGAGCGTTAACGACTGAGCCAAGGAGTCTTGGGGTACGGATTAGCACCTGCCACCGCCACCCTCAAAAGCTAGTGTATTATGCTAGGAAAGCACATCAAGCAGCATTAGTGTCTACAAGCATGAATGCAGTTTCAACAGCAACAAAAACGCAAGGCAAGCCAAATCATTGGTTATCGCAGCTTGAAACAAAGCACAACAAAGCAATGTATTGTACGGTTTTTGGAATGCACATTGTGGGACACATCATGGCACGTTCAGAAAATCCTTGAAAAGGTCGTCCGCAAAGAAACAGGCACACTCCTGCAGGCCGCTAATGCCAGACTGACAAAGCCAGCCCATGCAGAGGTAAGGTTTCGGGAATGGCAGCTACAGGCAGCACTGTAATTCCTACCTTATGTCAAATAAGTTCAACTGATGCCAAAGGCACTCCTATGCTGCCTAAAGTGGGCTTAAATCATCTTATGTTCCAAATCTTCAGGGATCTCGGTAAACCCTGATAAACCTGACAAATGTCGGCCATGTTCTCGTCCTGCTGAACAGTGCAAGCGCATCCCCCAAGGCGAAAATGGAGTCCTTTGAACCTGAAACGTTGAGCCATTCCTTGGTGCAGCTCCCATCAAGTCATAATAGGCTTGTCATACCAATGCTGTTTGTTGCTCTCAGCATCATATGATATGAAGAATATAACTATTTTTAATATCCCTATTGTTGAGGGTTACCGCAAAGCCAACTGCGTTGGACTTGGTCCGAAAATGCGTCCAGCATCATCAGTGCACAAGCCACGAGCCCCTGAAGTTCTGCCTCTCGTTTGCCTTGGTCGCAGTGGTTCGGTCGGGATATCATGGGAATGTTGGCCGTGATGAAGCAAACATAATGGTAAACCCTTCCCAAGGACTGGCCATAAATGGTAGATATCATCCCCAAAAAAAAATGTTGGTTATTTATTAATTTGTCTATCTATATATCTATCATCTATCTATTTATTTGTTTATTTACAGTATCTCTTTTATCATATTTTATCATTGGTTTTACCGCGTAAATCATGGGAATGTTGGCTGTACCTCTCCAGCATCCCAGGCTTTTGTTCACCATTTAAGCAGCCCACCGATGACTCAGGAACGATAGATCGTTCCTGGCTGTGCAGAGCATCTGTCCTAAAACTGGACGCTTTTGGACAACAAAAATGTCCTATTTTTCCTACTTCTAGGACGGATTCAAGATGATTCAAGGATATTCAAGGAGGGTGAGTCCCGGCAAATGCCCAAGACTATCAAGATGGCGACACACATGTGACTGCAAAGTGGTGGAAAAAGCATGCAAAGTACACATCATACCCAGTAAAAGATGCGCATGCAAAAGGTACAAGTATCTTCTCTTGCGTAGCTCAGTGTTCTGAACAATTGAAAGCCAAGCTGGGTCGGCCTCTATCGAACCCATGGGGCAGAGGCGTACAGGAGGAAATTTCGCTTGGAAATGATTATGATGTCACAAAGCTGTGCCTGGCTGTGGCGGCACCGCTGGTGCCTGGAAAATCTGGAAACTGGATGAAATTGGACATTGAAGACTGCTACGGGGCTCGGAAAACGGAAAGAATCTGACTGCCTCCATGGTGCCTCCAAAACACATCAGGCCGCTGGCCTGCTCCTTGGTGAGGCCCTGCAGGATGCAAATGCCCAACCAGATCCCAGCACCAAGACTTTGGGTCGGGAAGATCAGTCTGGCAAGGTTATGTCCTCAATCCAATAAGCAGCGTGAAGCATGACTTGATCATAACCACTGCCGCTGAACATGATGATATCTCGTAGAATTTTGGCGACTCACTAGGTGTCACTAACCCCCCACTGCTGATAGTCTCAGCTCACAGATCTGAATCGGAAACTCACTGGATCACTTCTGAGGCCTCGCACCAAAGGATGCAAGAAGGGTTTACCTGGTACCCTCTGGTAGTTTAACAGTTTACCATGGATAATGAGTTGTTTGAATCGGTACATCAGTATATACCATGGTTGAATTGCCAGAGGGTAAGGGCTCTCATCTTAAAACAAGCAACTGGCGGAGGAATGTTGACCACCCTTCTGCACACCAGCGCGGACGGCGGCACCAGCACCCAGCGGCTGCAAATTGCTGAGCCTTTCATCCACAATGTCGTGCTTGGGGGACACAGAGATGAAAGGAGTGTGAGGACATCGTTTTACATCCTTCCAACAGTGTGTAAGCCATTCCGCAATGCTAGGTGGAATCGCCAATTGATTCTTGTTGAAATCACCATCGCTTGCTGTTGAGCCCCTAGCAGAAGGAATTCAACAAAAGCTCAAGGGGAGCGGGTGCCAACGACTCGTTGTGCATATCGCAGTTTGCCTGCTGTTGTAAGCACAAAGGAAAGTTGTTTTCTTACCTCCACATTTGTACCAAACTAAGCACATCACATACTCCTTAAAGAAATCCTAGAACTCATTTTCAGTACGGAAGCTGGGCATGGCACATCAACCTGCACTGACAATCAGCTTCTGCGGCTGCCATGGCTGCGGCGGAATTCGGCATGGTGCTACTGAAGTTCACCTGATCGTTTAGGGACATCCATCTGCCTGGATCGTGCACCTTCCAAACCTGACTGTGTCCGACGGGTGCAAATCATGGATCTGATGATGCTGCGACAGCGAAGACAACTTGCATCAGGCATGAAACTTGGCTAATTTCACGAAGTCATGTGGCAAAGCCAATTGACTTTACCTTTGGAAGGGTATTCAGAACCATATTCCCCAAAAAAAGAAGAAGTGATCAGTATTATTGTTGTCGTTATCATCATTGTCATCATGTTTATTTTTGCGGTTGTTGTCATCATCATGTTCACTACTATTGCCATCCCCCATCTGAAATAGACCCTGCCAAATAGTGTGTTGAAACACTGCTTTCCTTTATGGGAGATTCCCAGGCTCTGTATTGGTAAGGTGATGGCATCACTGTTACCATCATTGCTACCACTATAATCACTCATGATCATCACTATCGCTGCTATCATTGTTATCATCTCGGTATTGTCTTCTGCTGTAAAAACTCTAATAGTTGCAGTACTCTTCTTATTGTCGTTTTTTGAAAATTTAGCATTGTTCTTATGATGATATTGATGAATGTGGTAAAGCCAATGCCGCAAAACCATCTCCAAGTTGAGGTTCATAAAATTGAGCCCCTCCATGATGTCCTCCGCCTGGAAGATCTGCAGCAGGCCCCGTGTGAAGGTGAGGCCTGGAGCTATGCGCCATGGCTTCATGATCTTTTTGTGCTGATTGTTGATATGTGATCATGTGTTTTCGCCGCTGTTTGTGCGCATTCATTTTTTCATTATTGTACTCAAGGTGAGGTATCTTCTGCCGGTTCAGATGAATAGAACTCGTGCTTCTTCGGCTTATCCGTCTCCCCCGCCCTGGCCGTTCTTGCTTTCGGCTCAGGGACCCCAGGGCCCCCAGGGCCCCTAGGGCCCCAAACACTCGGACGCTGTGCGGGAGACTTGTGGAACTTTGCCACCTGACTCCTGACGCATGTGGATGAGGGGCAGGGAGGACTCAGGTCAGGTCATGAAACTTGAAAACATATGGAAATAACATGGGGATGTACAGTAATAGAGATATACTGGGGATACCTCTATATATATATATACATACATATGTGTATATATATATATACTGATCTCATAATGATATGTCGGTGAGTCTAAAATAGTGGGTACCCAAAAAAATGATGGTTTAATCATCATCTTAATCTTAATCAGTCAAATTGCCAGGGGGTATTTCCATATTAAAAGCAACGCCAGCACTGCATTTTTTGAATAATCTTGACCCATACGCTTCCTTCTTCACATGCTATGGATACTACAAATACTTCTGCTTTGGACCTGTAGAAAATCACTGCCAGCCAAATAGCATCCTATGACTATTGCTACATTGCCAGCACACTTCTGGACTTCATGAACACACTTCACAACACCAAGAAAAACATCCAACCACGTGAGAGTTGCAATGCAAGCAAAAACTGCTCAAATGATGGTCAAGATTCCAAAATACCAGGAAAATCTGAGAAATCTGACAAAAGCAAGCACCTCCCGGGCCCATCGCGCAAGCAAAGCGCAGGCCACCGTGAGCGACTCCTGTGGAGGAATTTTGGATCCTGGGTAACCTGGGTATGTTTTACAAATATGGTCTGTACCCCTTCAATAGCCGTTTAAATAAGGAAAATGATGAAAATGATTATAAACCATGGAATTTCATTGAATTTTTGGGCGCGCCCCATTTTCAAACGGCATTCTCTTGGCTCAATTTTGGCTTCAGTAACGTGATGTCTTACTTATAAGGTACGCAGACTCAGCCAGGGCCAGCGTCCAAGCATTTTCAGATTCATTTGCTTCTACCGAAACAGGCCGCCGCCCCCAGCAGAGTGCAATTCCTTCAAGCTCTCCCAACGCCCCGACCTCCCAAATAGCCAGGGTAGGACATCCTCAGTGTTGAGGGTGGCGTCAATGTGGCCAAGCCCTCTTTGAAGGGGGCAGAGAGGGATGCCTTCTCAGAATGAATGTCACCTTCCGCTCAATTGAAGGGAAGTCTTCCTTTGACAATCTGAAAATGGTCGCTCCGCAAAAACACGAAGCGCCTCGCACCAGTCCAATACCCTTTGTTCTGATACGTCTTCATCTTGGGTGCCCCGGGCGCTCTTGGGCGTCAAAGATCGCAGCGGATCCTGAGGTGTTGTGAGTGGAGGTCAAAGATCTAAATGGCTTCTAGTTGCAACCGGTAGGGTTTCCCCAGTTGGCTCTTTGTTCCTGTGATGTGATGACTCGCCCGACCCTGCAACTGTAGCAGGTGGCCTGTTCCTGCCAAGGACGCCTCGCGAAGGTGCTTGGGGCGGTCTGTCTTGAGAAGTGAGTTGGTCTCAATCTTGCCGTCCCCGTGGAGAGAGAGGGAAAAATGGGGTGAAGAAAACTTCTCATCGACAATCTACGGACACCCTGGCAACTGTTTTGACAGCAACATCTTCGCAAAATGGGTTCCGCTCGTGAATTCTACACCAGCTATACAAGGTTGGGGGACTAGCCATTGAGCAAACAAGTGCCAACAATGGCAAGTGGCCAGCAACATCTTCGCATGTTGTAACTGACAGTGGCCTGACACTCGGGGTCGAGCAGCCGCAAGGCTTCCAGAGACACCTGCAGTAGATCATTGTTTAATGATGGTTAAATGATGGTTAATGATGGTTAAATGATGGTTAATGATGGTTAAATGATGGTTAAATGATGGTTAATGATGGTTAATGATATCAACGACCATGGTTCCAAGTCGCCAGTCCCCACTACCTGGCTCAAAGAGACTGTCACCCTGCCTCCACGATGCGGGCTCCGAAGCGTGACTGCCTGGGACTTGAACAGTGCAGCTTTGAACAACCCACTTTCCCATCTTTCTTGGTTTCAAAGGACACAAACTCCCAAAATTGCTGGGGAAAAAAGTCAATGATTTGCAGAGTTGGGTGGAAGTCCTGCGCAATCCTGACTGTGCTGACTGCTCGCAACTTTTTCTGCAGGGATTGCCGCCCATGGACTCAGGGGACAGGAGCCCCCCAACCTGCCAAGTATCGAGTGCTGGACATCTGAGGGCAGGGGGGGGGAGACTACCGAGTCAAGAAAACGTGCAACTTCACCAATTTGTCAGAAATCATCGTAGCGTCCCCATTCCCAGCACGGTCCCACCTAGTGAGTGCCTCTTGCAGTGCCACGGGCAACTCCTGAAGCGCCTCATGCACCTGTCACAGGACGTCACGGGATGTCACAGGTAATGGATGATGAGAAATGATTGAAGAAATACTTCAAACCGGCAATGACTTTTTTGGTAGGTATCAGATAGCATGATGTAACACCGTACAAAATAGCTCAACTTGCATCAATATGCGATATTCGGGGACGAATTGCGTGGAGATCACCCAGCGAATTAGGAGGTCCAAGCCATTAGCTTCTGGGTTTTTTATCATCGGTAGTTGGATGCTGTGCGCGAAAAGATTCCTAATCTATATGGATACTTTTCACATCTTTTCACTCAAATGAGGAGCCAATCTGTTTGCTGGCAGATCCTTACATGCGCCTGCTTCCGGATAGCATTGTGGGAAGGCTTGGCGAATGGCTTGGTTGGAAACTATTGCTTAAAACCTGGAGTATAGCAACCCAAATAGATAGAAAATTGTGAAATTATGGGGACGGCATAGCATCTATGACATCCTAGAAAACTGTCCTATAGGTTTGGGGACCCCTGTATTCCATGTAAGACCTCCATGCGCTCACCACATTCCATCCCTTAAGGCCCGAGGACCTCATCTGGTGAGCTTGGATGCTTCCTGGCGGAGGTCGTTTTCCCTCATAAAATTGCCATAAAATGGAGGTACAAAACAGTAAATCCCCCACTGGAGGAGGAAAAAATCATATAACTATGGTTGGTTCTACATCGCTATGAATCCCCATTATATCTCCCCCATTATATCCCCTACAAGTTGATTAGTTTCATCCTCCCTTGTTGGACTTACCTTCTATCAGCCACCCCTTGCGGTCTTTGTCATCCCCAGCTCCCGCCTTCCATGGAAGCTGAGTCGATAGCGATGCAGAAATGTGGATGGACACCAGCGAAGGTCCTCCACAGCAGTTACAAGACCTCGTGCAGGTTGCAACATGTGATCATGTGGTCATGTGCTCCAATTAATTAGTGAGGGTTGCCAAGATACGAGTACCAAAAACAAGACCAATTTTCTGTGGCTCCACTATGGTACCCATTTTTTTAGCCATTACCATAGCCATATGAAGATGAAAAGTGTCCAAGTTCAATGGATGTCATTCATGTTTCATCTGTTTCCAGATGTGCATCCCGGATGGGGCTGTCAAAGTAATCACGGATCCATCGGTGAAGAAGTGCACCAAGTTTTGAGGCGGATCAAGGCCGAATCTTGGTGCATCCACGCATCAATCTCAAGTTGTCTCAAGCCTTTGAGCCCCGCACAGGTGTACTTGCCATCGCTCACCACCGCATGCCCAATATGAGCCATGTGGACACGAATTTGATGCCTGGAGGCTGGCCAGGCCAGCTCACTGCTTGAACGCTTCCAGTGAAAAGGGGATTTGTATTTTATATATGTGTGTAATATAATATATATACACACACATATATATATATATATACCGATATATACCTAGAAATCACATTGTTCCAGGCGCATATAGCTCGTCCCATCGCTGGGTCAATGGAGGGAAGTCGCTAGCCTTCGGCCCGTGTCGATGGCCACAGCCAAAAGGGAGAAGCTACGACTCGCTGCCAGACTCGACATGGCCTTTACCCTGGGAGGAATGACTGGCTGGGTGGCTGCAAGCTGGATGGGATGTTAAGGGATGAAGGCTCAGAGATCCATTCTGTTACAAACGTCAACTCCAAGTTTTTTGCTGAAGAAACTCGTCTTGCACTATGTCGGCACCATTTCAGCATGAGTGCCTTATGAAGTTCAGAACCCTGGGAACCCAGGTCAGCTGTTCACGGATATGTCCATGGCAGATGTTCACACAACTTGCCGGAGCCCTGGCCTGGTCCGAGACGGCTTCCCATATGACCGCACCACACCTTGGTCGGAAATCTGATGGGTAGCTGCTGCTGAACTGGAGGTGGTTCCCTCAAGCCAGCGACATGGTCATCTAACCACTGGTGCCACCTGGCCACTGGGCACATCTTGGCCAAAGTGTCCCCAGTGCAAGCGCGCAGTGATGTGCCGAAGTCCTGTTAAGCAGCCATGGCTCAGAACCACCTGGGAGCGGTCAGCAGCTTGGCAAACAGGATCTCCACTGCGACAGCATTCCGAAACTACTTACCCTCTGGTAAACTAACACAACTATGGAAAATCACCATTTTTAATGGGAATATCAACTATAAATGGCCATTTTCAATAGCTATGTTAGTTTACCAGAGGGTACTTTCTGAAACGCTTCTCAGGCAATCTTCGTCCGTCCCATCACGATACAATTGTCCCTGCGGCCAAGCAACATACTCTCGTGCCTTAGTGCCCCACAAAGCTTCCGGGAAAAAAATCTGAGTGGACACACCAGCTATGCCCTGCCACCAAGACACGACCTGCCCTGCAGCAACTTGAAGCTGCAAGTCCTGAGCAAAGAAGTTTCAGAGCCAATGGCTCTTTCTTCAGCCAACTCTTCACGGTTAATTTTAAGCAGGTTTGATACAAATATGGCTACCCCAAACCATTGGTTTTCCCATTGATAATCACTCATTTTGGAAGATTTTGGATGATTTTGGGGTAACCCATTCTAGGAAACCTCCATCTGGCCAATGTGACCCGCCAAGCCCTGCACGTAATAAGCTTCGTGGGTCTTTGCCACCAGGATCAGTCCCGAGGTGGGCACATCCTGGGCACATTGCCACGCAAAAATGGCGGAACAAAATTTCCAGAGATCTATGGTCTATGGTCAAAGAAGAATGGCAGGAAGAGGCCGTCTGGTCAAGGCTGGTCAGAAGGATCATGGGAGATGAGGTGCTGGCCAATCGATGCAGGAAACCTCGCTGGTGCTCCACCTGTCCCAAGGAATTGAGCGTGCGTACTGAATGGTACTGGTGATCGTGCAGCTATCACCATCATCATCACCACCACCATAACCCCATCACAATCATCACCATCACCTTGGCCACGCGCTATTACCCCACTGCCATCCTTGCCATTATTGCGCCTCTTTGAAGATTGGGCATGACAGCCTGGCACTTAGGAACTGCGAGAGCCTGGGAGCTCAGTCGATGTCACAGGGTGGCCGCCTACCCAAAAAAGGAAGGGGGAATGGCCGAAAAGTGGACATTGGAGGTCCCATTTGAAGGCCATCTAAGTTAAGGTAGAATTCTGAGCCCATCCAAGAACGACATCCGGTAAGAATAGGCAGGCACGAATTGCCAATTCATTCAATTCATTCCAAGACCGACAACCCTGATGTTTATGCTATGGCTTGAAATTGAAATGTGAAAATGCCAAAGTGCCGTAAGCGGCGCCTCGCACGAGGTGTCCCGTGAGCTGTCTCTGGCTCGTCTTGTCCGTCGTCCACCTGACGGGAACCCAAATCAGAAATCAGGCCACAAACAGCACATCTGAGGGAGGCGTGTCGGTCTGTAAGGTCAGGCAACATATGAATAGATAGACAGACAAATAGATAGACAGACAGATAGATAGATAGATGGATAGGATAGGATAGGATAGATTCGATAGATTCGATAGATTCGATACATAAGTTTGATTAGATTAGATTAGATTAGATTAGGTTAGATTAGCTTAGATTAGATTAGATTAGACTAGATTAGACTAGATTAGACTAGATTAGACTAGATAGACTAGATAGACTAGATAGACTAGATAGACTAGATAGACTAGATAGACTAGATAGACTAGATAGATTAGATAGGTTGTATAAATTAGATAGATTAAATAGATTAGATAGATTAGATAGATTAGATTAGATTAGATTAGGATTAGGATTAGGATTAAGATTTAGATTTAGATTAGATTCGATTCGATTGGATTAGATTAGATTAGATTAGGTTAGATTAGTTAGGTTAGGTTAGGTTAGGTTAGATTAGGTTAGGTTAGATTAGATTAGATTAGATAGATTAGATAAATAAGATAAGATAAGATAAGATAAGATAAGTTAGATTAGAAAAGATAAAATAGATAAGATAGATAAGATAGATAAGATTAGATAAGATTAGATAAGATTGGATAAGATTAGATAAGATTAGATAAGATTAGATCAGATTAGATAAGATCAGATAAGATCAGATAAGATTAGATAAGATTAGATAAGATTAGGTAAGATTAGGTAAGATTAGGTAAGATTAGGTAAGATTAGATAAGATTAGATAAGATTAGATAAGATTAGATAAGATTAGATAAGATGAGACAAGATCAGACAAGATTAGATAAGATAAGATTAGATCAGATAAGATAAGATAAGATTAGATTAGATAAGATAGATAGATAGATAGATAGACACACATATATATATATATATCGTCTTATCTTATCTTACCTATCTATTTATCATACATATCCTTTTATAGAGAGAGAGAGAGGAAGGTGTTGAGTGTCACTGAGTCTTCCCCCACCCAACCGGCAGCTGGCACATTTTTCACTGGCACGACCCTTTAAGGCCTCCAGTACTATCACTGTACATCGAGGCCCGTAGGCGCCCTAAAGGAGACCTGTCCCTCCAGTCCCTGTACTAAAGCACCAAACAAAAAATGTTTGGAATGCAGCAATTGAAAGGACCATTCTGTTTCTGTTGTGCTCTTGCTCTCTTATCATCTCTTATCTGTATCTTTCTTCAAGTCGGAACTGCGGTTTCTACCGCTGGTTGGGTGATGTTCCTCCGACACTTACCAGCTTGTGCTCCTCGGTTCAAGGACCAGACCAGACCCGCACAGGAGCTGAGCAGGAGAATGGTGGCTTCCCTGGCCCAGACTGCCACACCAGCTACACTCCTCTCCGCAAAGCCCAGCCAAAGCCTTTCACCTGGCACTGGCAATGTCTTCATATCCCAAAGTAGGACTTGCAACTCGCGACTCAAGGAAAACGGCGTTTGAAGATTCCGTTGGCCCCTTGACTTGAAAGGATCTTGTATTATCTTGTGTTCAAAGTCTAGAGTGTCTTGGGCTCCGCTTTTTCATCAAGGTGCACATGATTCCCCGGTCATGTCATCTGTGGGGTCATCTGTCCACCACCTGAAACTCATGTCTCTCGGCCTCAACACGTCGGACTTTTGTCCCACCAGGTTTCCGGGAATACTGTGACCATTAATCGGATGGAAGAAATCCTGCACTAGTTGGTAGATGGTGATTATCCCGTTATAGCCCTATGATTTACAGTGTTTCATAGGAATTTCAATAGTTGGCAACTGGTGCAGGATTTCTTCCATCCACGGTATTAACAGCCAAACAGCAAACATCTTCAAACAAGAAATCCTTGGTCGATGGTTTCTATCATGGCCTTACCGCGTTCGCGGGTGTTCGGTGTGTTGCCGGAGCAAGTGGAAGGCGATGTAGCGCCTCAAAGTCCAAACTACCAGCTGGGATTGCAAGTACCCTCCGGTAATCCAAACAGGTTGCTGGGGAAAACCACCATTTGCCATAGGAAAATCGGAAAACCACCGTTTGTCATACGTATGTATATACAGTAAATCATCTACAAATGGGTCATGTTCCAAGCCTATGTTTACCAGAGGGGGAATTTTGCCAACTACATCTGAGTCCGGACGACATGAAATGACCTTGTGTTCGTACATGTAACATGCGTGCAAGACACTTCAGCCCAATCCTTTTCCAGCAAGGGTATCAGCAATGCTCTGAAAGGGGCAAGCATCCCATCTCATCATCGGCACTACAATGATTTCCACCCATACTGAGGGAGCTTGGCACAAATACCCAGAAAACCTGAAAATAGGTGGTAAATCAGTAAATCCCAGTGTTTCCACATGAAGAGCTGGGTGCCCCACTGCCGCTCCTGCGCTATCTCCGCACGAAGTTGGTCCAACGGCACCTAACTCCAGCGACCCCAGGGTGGGCACATGACGTTGGCATCACCTAAAACTGGTCCAGAAATGATCCAGCAAAACGGTCGAAAAATTGTCCAAATAGGTCCAATTGCAGTTGAAATTCACGTGAAATCCAATGCAAGTGCACTGGAATTCAACCCACCCAGCTGAAGCGGTCTTTTAACTGCCGAGTGGAACACCAACTCACGTTCAACCATGTCTCTCTCCACTTTCTTTCGATCATTTTCTCCCTGCCTCCCGCAAGCCCATACCAGCAGGACCCCGATCTGGTGGCAAAGGAGATGATTCTGCCAGCTCCATCTGTGCCTGCGGCGGCAAGCTCCCAACAGTGACCTTTGCAAAATGGGCTACACCTGTTCCATTACACAACCATAGTTCAACTTTTTCCCCAACAAATAGTAGATACTAGAGACATCTCCAAGAAAATGCTCGAAAAAACTGGCCTGGTCTCCGTGTTGCTTCATCCCAGTGGTCTATACTTCGCAACTGGACATTGCCCCTCCATAGTTTCGGCCTCCACCCTTGGCTTGATTGGTCACTGTACATCCCATTACTACTATACCCCAATTACATGATATCCTACTATAGCCCATGATTATCATGTAATTTTATAGCAATCCAATTATCATTCTCATCCCATCATCATTATCATCCCATCATCTCATTACTAGTAATGTGCTTAAACAATTTTCTAGATCCCCAAAATCACCATTTTTATAGGTGCTATCAACCATCCAAAATGGCTTTGCTTAACAATTGTTCACAAATGCTTAACCATGCTTAATGTGGTTTAGACAATAATGGTTAACCATTATTGTTTTACCCACATACCCGTTTACCACAGCCCATCTCCCACCTCGCTGAGGATCCCCAAGGGTCGCCGTTCTTCCACCGCGCTGTTGGTCGCACCGGGCGGGCGACGCCGCGCCAGGCTCGCCAGGCTGGCCACCTGGTCGTTCTTGGAGACCGCCTGTAGCTGTGAGATGGTCAGAAAACCCTCGGAAAATGGGACTTCTCACCACGAAAAACTTGGAAAACCATGGGAAAATGAGGGTTTAATATGGTTTGACTCACATACCCATCATTTAACGATGAAAAAAATTGAGAAATAGTTTTTTTTCACTGACGTAACTCCATTGAAGGCGATCATCGTGGGAGAATCAGGGATAATACAACCATCAACTGTATGGATTACCCTCTGGTAATTTAACATAGCTATTGAAAATCACCATTTTTAATGGGAAAATCCACTATTAATGGTGATTTTCAATAGCTATGTTAAATTACCAGAGGGTATAATCGGGGAAATGGGAATTGTTCATCAACAGGAGTATAACCATAGGATGAATGAGGCCCCAGGTAGTCATCATAATATCGTCCTTATACATAATGAATGGGTATACATTCACCCTCGTTGAAAATGGATTACGAAGAATCCCCCGGTATAGACCGTTTACCCAAGTTTTGGCCATGGCACACATAAATTTGTTCAAGGTGGATTTACCATGATTTACCCCGTTTTCAGGCTAGTTTAGTGAGGAAAATGATGGTTAAACTCGGTTCACCACTGGATTTTGGAGCACCCTGGAGTACAGTTCAATGATCAAGGAAATGTTGCAAATTGAAAAGCTCTCACTGAAGTCTTCCTTTACATTGGCATCCACCAAAGAAGTTGGAGATCCCGCAACGCCTCGGTGACGCAAATGAGCAACTCCATAAAGAAGTTCAAACGCCCTTGCAACTCCGTGAGTGCCTCTGCGGCACGGTGACAAGTTCGTGCCAACGGATGTGTGTCTGAAAACGGTTTTTGCCCCTTAAGATGGCCATGTAAATGGGAAGATGGATGATGAACCAATGCATTTCGGGGTTTTCCATAATTTCAACTCAAATGGGTCACTCATGTAGGGTTTTTCAGACAAACCAACCAAAAGTGGATGGTCACCTTTATATAATGATTCAAGTCATATATATATATATATATTATAGTCATATTATGACTCACCAGTGGATTATGGCTGGTGTATTCCCGTTATATACCCATGGTTTTTTACCCAACCCTGCCACCAAAGAACACCATGGTCCTGGCCTTTAACTCAGGAGCCAAACCTTGCGCGAGCCGCGTCTCCTGCAAGCGTTCCAAAGCGGTGGCCTCTTCCTGACCGAAGACGCGATGGCCGATGCCGTGGATGGCTTTGAATGGAAAAATTGGCGGAAAACCATGGGTTTTTACCCCAAAAAAATGGGGCTTTCATGGGGCGTCCTGCAGATTGAAACCCAATTCTGGGACAAGTTCTAGTGTCTCCACTCTGCTTTGCCTGTGGATTAGAAAACCTCTTCATCGCCACTCCCCGCCTTCATCGCTTCCAGTTGCTCTTCCAGGGTCGCAGGGGCATAACCTCAGCAGCCAGGCGTCTCATGGATAGCATCCGTCCAGGACGAGGTGATCCCCTCCGTAACCGCCTCTTGTGCCCAGCAACGCTTGTTGATGCGCGGGTCGCCAATCTCGAACTTCACAGCCTGTGGAGACTGCACGAGGAAACAACACTTGCAGTTCACCATTGAAAAGTACCGTGTGACAACATTGTAGCAGGTAGATCACTGGTTTTAGTTGTCAGTTTACCACATAGGTCCCACTTCATACCAAATTACACCGACATAGACCCCAGATAGAAAAGGTTGGAACTGATGGTTCCCAACGTGGGAACCAAAGGTTACCATGGCAAGGAACTGCCGGTTCCCAGACCTTGAAACTTACGGTTCCCAACCTGGGAACCAGAGGTTGCCATTGCAAGGAATTGCCGGCTCCCAGAAGTTAGAATTTATGTTTTCGAAGCTAAGCGGCTATCATTGTAAGGAACTGCGGGTTCCCAAAGTTTGAAACTCATGGTTCCAAGCCTGAAAAAGTAACGTTACCAGTGGAAGGATCTGTTGATTGCAAAAACATGGACCTCATGGTTCTTAATGTTGTTTTGTTTTGTTTACTGAGCCGGTAACAGAACCTTTTGTTTTGCTTAATGGACGGGTAGCGAAATGGTTGCGTTTGGCTGTTGGGCCGGCATAAAAATGTTTTTGAACGAAAAAGGTGCATGTCAAAATGACATGAAAACAGTTTCTTTACAATTTTATGGTTTTGCTTAATGGACCGGTACAGAAAGCTTTGTTTTGCTTAATGGACCGGTACCGGAATGTTTGCGTTTGGTTCATGGCAAGGAACTGCCAGTTTCCAAAGGTTGGAACTCACGGTTGCCAACGTGGGAACCAGAGGTTACCATTGCAAGCAACTTCCAATTCCTAAAGGTTGGAACTGATGGTTCCCAACGTGGGAACCAGAGGTTACCATTGCAAGCAACTGCCGGTTCCCAGAGGTTGGAACTCATGCTTCCCAACCTGGGAACCATAGGTTACCATTGCAAACAACTTCCAATTCCTAAAGGTTGGAACTGATGGTTCCCAACGTGGGAACCAAAGGTTACCATGGCAAGGAACTGCCGGTGCCCAGACCTTGAAACTTGCGGTTCCCAACCTGGGAAACAGAGGTTACTAATGCAAGGAATTGCCGGTTCCCAGAAGTTAGAATTTATGTTTTCGAAGCTAAGCAACTATCATTGTAAGGAACTGCGGATTCCCAAAGTTTGAAACTCATGGTTCCAAGCCTGAAAAAGTAACGTTACCAGTGGAAGGATCTGTTGATTGCAAAAAGATGGACCTCATGGTTCTTAATGTTGTTTTGTTTTGTTTACCGAGCCGGTAACAGAACCTTTTGTTTTGCTTAATGGACCGGTAGCGAAATGGTTGCGTTTGGCTGTTGGGCCGGCATAAAAATGTTTTTGCACGAAAAAGGTCCATGTTAAAATGATATGAAAACAGTTTCTTTACAACTTCATGGTTTTGCTTAATGGACCGGTAAAGAACGCTTTGTTTTGCTTAATGGACCGGTACCGGAATGTTTGCGTTTGGTTCATGGCAAGGAACTGCCAGTTCCAAAGGTTGGAACTCACGGTTGCCAACGTGGGAACCACAGGTTACCATTGCAAGGAACTTCCGGTTCCCAGAGGTTGGAACTCATGGTTCCGAACCTGGGAACCAGAGGTTACCATTGCAAGCAACTGCCGGTTCCCAGAGGTTGGAACTCATGCTTCCCAACCTGGGAACCATAGGTTACCATTGCAAAGAACTTCCAATTCCTAAAGGTTGGAACTGATGGTTCCCAACGTGGGAACCAAAGGTTACCATGGCAAGGAACTGCCGGTGCTCAGACCTTGAAACTTACGGTTCCCAACCTGGGAACCACAGGTTACCATTGCAAGGAATTGCCGGTTCCCGGAAGTTAGACTTTATGTTTTCGAAGCTAAGCGGCTATCATTGTAAGGAACTGCGGGTTCCCAAAGCTTGAAACTCATGGTTCCAAGCCTGAAAAAGTAACGTTACCAGTGGAAGGATCTGTTGATTGCAAAAACATGGACCTCATGGTTCTTAATGTTGTTTTGTTTTGTTTACTGAGCCGGTAACAGAACCTTTTGTTTTGCTTAATGGACCGGTAGCGAAATGGTTGCGTTTGGCTGTTGGGCCGGCATAAAAATGTTTTTGCGCGAAAAGGGTGCATGTCAAAATGATATGAAAACAGTTTCTTTACAATTTTATGGTTTTGCTTAATGGACCGGTACAGAACGCTTTGCTTTGCTTAATTAATAAACCCGTACCGGAATGTTTGCGTTTGGTTCATGGCAAGGAACTGCCGGTTTCCAAAGGTTGGAACTCACAGTTGCCAACGTGGGAACCACAGGTTACCATTGCAAGGAACTGCCGGTTCCCAGAGGTTGGAACTCCTGGTTCCCAACCTGGGAACCATGGGTTACCATTGCAAGCAACTGCCAGTTACCAGAGGTTGGAACTCATGCCTCCAAACCTGGGAACCATAGGTTACCATTGCAAAGAACTTCCGGTTCCCAAAGGTTGGGACTGATGGTTCCCAACGTGGGAACCAAAGGTTACCATGGCAAGGAACTGCCGGTTCCCAGACCTTGAAACTTACGGTTCCCAACCTGGGAACCAGAGGTTACCATTGCAAGGAATTGCCGGTTCCCGGAAGTTAGAATTTATGTTTTCGAAGCTAAGCGGCTATCATTGTAAGGAACTGCGGGTTCCCAAAGTTTGAAACTCATGGTTCCAAGCCTGAAAAAGTAACGTTACCAGTGGAAGGATCTGTTGATTGCAAAAAGATGGACCTCATGGTTCTTAATGTTGTTTTGTTTTGTTTACTGAGCCGGTAACAGAACCTTTTGTTTTGCTTAATGGACGGGTAGCGAAATGGTTGCATTTGGCTGTTGGGCCTGCATAAAAATGCTTTTGAACGAAAAAGGTGCATGTCAAAATGACATGAAAACAGTTTCTTTACAATTTTATGGTTTTGCTTAATGGACCGGTACAGAACGCTTTGTTTTGCTTAATGGACCGGTACCGGAATGTTTGCGTTTGGTTCATGGCAAGGAACTGCCAGTTTCCAAAGGTTGGAACTCACGGTTGCCAACGTGGGAACCACAGAAACCATTGCAAGGAACTGCCGGTTCCCAGAGGTTGGAACTCCTGGTTCCCAACCTGGGAACCATGGGCTACCATTGCAAGCAACTGCCGGTTCCCAGAGGTTGGAACTCATGCTTCCCCACCTGGGAACCATAGGTTACCATTGCAAAGAACTTCCAATTCCTAAAGGTTGGAACTGACGGTTCCCAACGTGGGAACCAAAGGTTACCATGGCAAGGAACTGCCGGTGCCCAGACCTTGAAACTTACGGTTCCCAACCTGGGAACCAGAGGTTACCATTGCAAGGAATTGCCGGTTCCCAGAAGTTAGAATTTATGTTTTCGAAGCTAAGCGGCTATCATTGTAAGGAACTGCGGGTTCCGAAAGCTTGAAACTCATGGTTCCAAACCTGAAAAAGCATACGTTACCAGTGGAAGGATCTGTTGATTCCAAAAAGTTAGAACTCATGGTTCTTAATGTTGTTTTGTTTTGTTTGCTGAGCCGGTAACAGAACCTTTTGTTTTGCTTAATGGACCGGTAGCGGAATCTTTGCGTTTGGCTGTTGGGCCGGCATAAAAATGTTTTTGCACGAAAAAGGTGCATGTCAAAATGATATGAAAACAGTTTCTTTACAATTTTTTGGTTTTGCTTAATGGACCGGTAAAGAACGCTTTGTTTTGCTTAATGGACCGGTACCAGAATGTTTGCGTTTGGTTCATGGCAAGGAACTGCCGGTTTCCAAAGGTTGGAACTCACTGTTGCCAACGTGGAAACCACAGGTTACCATTGCAAGGAACTGCCGGTTCCCAGAGGTTGGAACGCATGGTTCCCAACCTGGGAACAAGAGGTTACCATTGCAAGCAACTGCCGGTTCCCACCTGGGAACCACAGGTTACCATTGCAAAGAACTTCCAGATCCTAAAGGTTGGAACTGATGGTTCCCAACGTGGGAACCAAAGGTTACCATGGCAAGGAACTGCCGGTGCCCAGACCTTGAAACTTACGGTTCCCAACCTGGGAACCAGAGGTTACCATTGCAAGGAATTGCCGGTTCCCAGAAGTTAGAATTTATGTTTTCGAAGCTAAGCAGCTTTCATTGTAAGGAACTGCGGGTTCCCAAAGCTTGAAACTCATGGTTCCAAGCCTGAAAAAGTAACATTACCAGTGGAAGGATCTGTTGATTGCAAAAAGATAGAACTCATGGTTCTTAATGTTGTTTTGTTTTGTTTACTGAGCCGGTAACAGAACCTTTTGTTTTGCTTAGTGGACCGGTAGCGGAATGTTTGCGTTTGGCTGTTGGGCCGGCATAAAAATGCTTTTGGACGAAAAAGGTGCATGTCAACATGATATGAAAACAGTTTCTTTACAATTTTATGGTTTTGCTTAATGGACCGGTACAGAACGCTTTGTTTTGCTTAATGGACCGGTACCGGAATGCTTGCGTTTGGTTCATGGCAAGGAACTGCCGGTTTCCAAAGGTTGGAACTCACGGTTGCCAACGTGGGAACCACAGGTTACCATTGCAAGGAACTGCCGGTTCCCAGAGGTTGGAACTCCTGGTTCCCAACCTGGGAACCATGGGTTAACCATTGCAAGCAACTGCCGGTTCCCAGAGGTTGGAACTCATGCTTCCCAACCTGGGAACCATAGGTTACCATTGCAAAGAACTTCCGTTTCCTAAAGGTTGGAACTGATGGGTCCCAACGTGGGAACCACAGGTTACCATTGCAAGGAACTGCCGGTTCCCAGAGGTTGGAACTCCTGGTTCCCAACCTGGGAACCATGGGTTAACCATTGCAAGCAACTGCCGGTTACCAGAGGTTGGAACTCATGCTTCCCAACCTGGGAACCATAGGTTACCATTGCAAAGAACTTCCGGTTCCTAAAGGTTGGAACTGATGGGTCCCACCGTGGGAACCACAGGTTACCATGGCAAGGAACTGCCGGTTCCCAGACCTTGAAACTTACGGTTCCCAACCTGCGAACCAGAGGTTACCATTGCAAGGAGTTGCCGGGTCCCACAGGTTAGAACTTATGTTTTCGAAGCTAAGCGGCTATCATTGTAAGGAACTGCGGGTTCCCAAAGCTTGAAACTCATGGTTCCAAGCCTGAAAAAGTAACGTTACCAGTGGAAGGATCTGTTGATTGCAAAAAGTTAGAACTCATGGTTCTTAATGTTGGTTTGTTTTGTTTACTGAGCCGGTAACAGAACCTTTTGTTTTGCTTAATGGACCGGTAGCGGAATGTTTGCGTTTGGCTGTTGGGCCGGCATAAAAATGTTTTTGAACGAAAAAGGTGCATGTCAAAATGATATGAAAACAGTTTCTTTACAATTTTATGGTTTTGCTTAATGGACCGGTACAGAACGCTTTGTTTTGCTTAATGGACCGGTACCGGAATGTTTGCGTTTGGTTCATGGCAAGGAACTGCCGGTTTCAAAAGGTTGGAACTCACGGTTGCCAACGTGGGAACCACAGGTTACCATTGCAAGGAACTGCCGGTTCCCAGAGGTTGGAACTCCTGGTTCCCAACCTGGGAACCATGGGTTACCATTGCAAGCAACTGCCGGTTACCACAGGTTGGAACTCATGCTTCCAAACCTGGGAACCATAGGTTACCATTGCAAAGAACTTCCGGTTCCTAAAGGTTGGAACTGATGGTTCCCAACGGGGGAACCACAGGTTACCATGGCAAGGAACTGCCGGTGCCCAGACCTTGAAACTTACGGCTCCCAACCTGGGAACCAGAGGTTGCCATTGCAAAGAGTTGCCGGTTCCCAGAAGTTAGAATTTATGTTTTCGAAGCTAAGCGGCTATCATTGTAAGGAATTGCCGGTTGCGAAAGCTTGAAACTCATGGTTCCAAACCTGAAAAAGCATACGTTACCAGTGGAAGGATCTGTTGATTCCAAAAAGTTAGACCTCATGGTTCTTAATTGTTGTTTTGTTTTGTTTACTGAGCCGGTAACAGAACCTTTTGTTTTGCTTAATGGACCGGTAGCGGAATGTTTGCGTTCGGCTGCTGGGCCGGCATAAAAATGTTTTTGCACGAAAAAGGTGCATGTTAAAATCTGTTAAAATGATATGAAAACATTGTCTTTACAACTTTATGGTTTTGCTTAATGGACCGGTAAAGAACGCTTTGTTTTGCTTAATGGACCGGTACCGGAATGTTTGCGTTTGGTTCATGGCAAGGAACTGCCGGTTCCAAAAGGTTGGAACTCACGGTTGCCAACGTGGGAACCACAGGTTACCATTGCAAGGCACTGCCGGTTCCCACAGGTTAGAAGTCATGGTTCCCAACCTGGGACTGCCGGTTCCCAGAGGTTGGAACTCATGCTTCCCAACCTGGGAACCATAGGTTACCACTGCAAAAGAACTTCCAGTTCCTAAAGGTTGGAACTGATGGGTCCCAACGTGGGAACCAAGGGTTACCATGGCAAGGAACTGCCGGTTCCCAGACCTTGAAACTTACGGTTCCCAACCTGGGAACCAGAGGTCACCATTGCAAGGAATTGCCGGTTCCCAGAAGTTAGAATTTATGCGTTCGAAGCTAAGCGGCTTTCATTGTAAGGAACTGCGGGTTCCCAAAGCTTGAAAGTCATGGTTCCAAGCCTGAAAAAGTAACGTTACCAGTGGAAGGATCTGTTGATTGCAAAAAGTTAGACCTCATGGTTCTTAATGTTGTTTTGTTGTGTTTACTGAACCGGTAACAGAACCTTTTGTTTTGCTTAATGGACCGGTAGCGGAATGTTTGCGTTTGGCTGTTGGGCCGGCATAAAAATGTTTTTTGCACGAAAAAGGTGCATGTCAAAATGATATGAAAACAGTTTCTTTACAACTTTATGGTTTTGCTTAATGGACCGGTAAAGAACGCTTTGTTTTGCTTAATGGACCGGTACCGGAATGTTTGCGTTTGGTTCATGGCAAGGAACTGCCGGTTTCCAAAGATTGGAACTCACGGCTGCCAACGTGGGAACCAGAGGTTACCATTGCAAGGAACTGCCGGTTCCCAGAGGTTGGAACTCCTGGTTCCCAGGGTTACCATTGCAAGCAACTGCCGGTTACCACAGGTTGGAACTCATGCTTCCCAACCTGGGAACCATAGGTTGCCATTGCAAAGAACTTCCAGTTCCTAAAGGTTGGAACTGATGGTTCCCAACGTGGGAACCAAAGCACAGCACGCTGCACAGCACCCTGCACAGCACCCTGCACAGAACCCTGCACAGCACCCTGCACAGCACCTTTCACAGCACCCTTCACAGCACCATGCACAGCACCTTTGCGAGACTTCGCCACCGCAGTCTGGATAGCAGCGTGCACAGCACCTTGCACAGCACCTTTGCCAGACTTCGCCACCGCAGTGTGGACAGCACCCTGCACAGCACCCTGCACAGCACCCTCAGCACCTTGCGCAGCACCTTTGCCAGACTTCGCCACTGCAGTCTGGACAGCACCCTGCACAGCCCCCCTGCACAGCACCCTGCACAGCACCCTGCACAGCACCTTTGCCAGACTTCGCCACCGCAGTCTGGACAGCACCCTGCAGGGCACTCTCCCTGCACAGCACCTTTGCCAGACTTCGCCACCGCAATCTGGACAGCACCCTGCACAGCACCCTGCACAGCACCTTTGCCAGACTTCGCCACCGCACTCTGGACAACACCCTGCAGAGCACCCTGCACAGCACCTTCGCCAGACTTCGCCACCGCAGTCTGGACAGCACCCTGCACAGCACCCTGCACAGCACCTTTGCCAGACTTCGCCACCGCAGTCTGGACAGCACCCTGCACAGCACCCTGCACAGCACCTTTGCCAGACTTCGCCACCGCAGTCTGGACAGCACCCTGCACAGCACCCTGCTCAAAAGTTCGCCACCGAAGACCCCACCTTTGAGAAGTAAGAACCCCTATAGCTTGCCAGCTATCTGGGGAAAAATAAAGTGCTATCCGCATGGGCTCGTTGTTTCAAACCCCATGTTTGACAAATAAATCCCATCTATCCTCTGGTAACTGAACATGGCTGCCCGAAGCTGAACACCCAACATGCGGGATAATCATCTCATGGGTGATTTTCCAATGCCAAGTTAAACATGTCGGAGAAATTCCACTCAAATCTCAAAACCAGATTATAAAAACCCACACCTTCCACTTGAATCCCCTTTCAAGTCACCCTGGAAAATCCCAAAAATCCCATGGGAAATCACCCTAAAATCACCTGTTTCCCCTGAAGTCACCTGGAAAATCCCATGGCGTTCCAGTGGCGTTCCGCTCCCAGTCACCTCCTGGGTGATCTCATCCAGCTGTCGATGGATCTGTTGCCCCGAGCTCTGTAGCCGTGACACCCCGCAGCGCATGCGACTGCGTTCCCCCACCTTCCTCGGACGTTTTCTTCGGTGGACGGGAACCCCTGTTATTTAACGGTTCGAAGCCATGGTCCATTGCCCATTGATCAGTGATTTACCTCTTAAAATAGGGATGTTGTATATATATATATATGCTCTCAGAGGGTAGCCATCACTTGCTGATGCTAAACGTAATTTGAGAATGATTCAATCCATAACTCATAATCATCCCATTCCCCCATCCATTCCCTACGTTTAGCACCAGAAAATGCAGGGCTGAACCATCCCAAAATTGGCTCCTTTCATGGTTCAACCATCCTGAAATGGCCATTAGGAATTGTCCAAAATGGTGTTAAACTCCCGAGCAAAAACTCGCAAAAATTGGGGTTGAACCACCAGAAATGATGGTTTAAGTTGGCTCAAGCATTCTGAAACTGAAATGGGGATGCATATAATCAATCCATTAGCGTATATGTGTATATATATATATTATATATCCCAAAAAAAAAATATGGTACAACACAAACCTTAATGAGGATATAATGGGGTGTATAACTGTTTTTTCCGCGTTTTACGGCAATCATCATGCTCCTGGCCCATTCCTGGAGAGCACCTTTTCAAGTAGTGTGCCCAAGGGTCAAGGAGGATTCCACAGCCAGCAACATCTTCTCGGCCATCAAAATGCCTTGGGCCAGAAGGTTCTGACCATCAAAGGGTGCGGGTGCTTCCAACTCAAACAAGATGTCATGTGGGTTTGTCCGAGAATAGCGTACCCCTCAACCCAATGGTTCATCGTACATGTCCCCTATTAAATGGCTATAATTGGGGGTATACCATTTCCAGACGTACCAATTAGTCACGTCAGAAACGTTTCCTCAACATGGCCCAGCTACGAGAATGCAAGTAGTACAAATGCATTTGCGCCTCTTGAAGTCTTTGCTTCACAATCTGGCCACGGGAATCACCAAGTGGGGTCAGTGAGTTAAGATGCAACACAGCCGCACACAGACTGTGATGGATTAAACAGGGCGCAGCTCTGCGCCGAAGTGCTCGGTCATGTCTGGAACTATCCAATTCAATAGTTTTCCACGGTGTGAACGCCAGAGACATATGGTGGAAACTCTATTGATTCCAACCATGAACCTCTATCTATCCATTCACAGATCACATGGTGCTTCATTACCAGATGGTAGTTGTTCTGTTTGATAGATGATTGACTATGACTATGAGAATAAACCATACTATTCCCATAGAATATGGTAAAAAAAGTCATAAAAACATCCCGTCCCAATATCAGTCACACCCCCCCCCACCATGGCATCCCGTCCCCATCCACCATGGCTTCATGGCGACCTGGCGATCCCGGCGGTCCAAGCACTCGAAGCCCGTGCGCAAGGTGTTGATCTCCTCAGCAAAGACCTGGCTTGGCGACCGGGGTTCCCGGGGACCGGGAACCGGGGAGGGTTGGTGGTTTGTTGGTTTTTGGGCACCATTTGGCACCCAAACATGCCGATGACTTGGGCTTGGGGATGGGGCATTGGCTTGCCCTCAGGTGCAGGGTACAGGATCCTTACCGCAAGTGTACGAATCGCATGTCCGGCGATCATCGTGGCCAAGCTGGACATATTTCATTCAAGTTCAATTCTTGGACCCTTTGGGTACGCATCTCAATGTAGATGAACTGAAGGATGGGCTCTCATCAACCTGCTAAAGTAGCTTTTGGTTGATGAGTGGCAGGCGACTTGAAAGGGTCACCAGCGAAGTGCAAAGAAATATAACTGTATATAATTATATATGTATATACACATGTGGTAAGCTATTATCATTGTCCATTGTCATTCCCCACGATCATCATACTTCACGAATACTATTACTTTTCCTACTAATGTGGCACACCCATGAGCAGATCTACCATTGGGGGATGATGTTTGCGACCCATTCATGACAAAATTGTGGGCTCAACGTAGCTAGTAAGTGGTTAGCTCACCACTGTTAATTCAGTAGGGTAAGTGGGGGCGAAGGTAAGTGGTGGCGATGTCCAGTTATCACTGGCGTGAACCTACCCACTTACTAAGTAGGGTAAGCCACAAAGTAGTCGCTGGGGAGGTACTCATCCCAAATATGGTCGGAATAAGAGTGAGTAACAAGCAACAGCAAGAAAGCAAGAGCCTGATCGCTTCATGTTTCTTTTTACTCTGTTTGTCGTATGGATTTCGGCAACCGGACCGAACCCGGCTTCCACGGATTTACGGGACCTGGGGACCACTGAGTCAGTGGTTTCAAGGTCAAACATATGCACACAGACGGCCACGTTTGTATATTTAGACGTGCATTGAATAGTGCATTGTTGTTCAAGCCTAGGAATGGATAGAATTTGATAGAATCGAAACGGGATTATCATCCCAACTGACAAGCGTGCGTAGACATTTACACATGCATATGGTGCAACTGGTCTGCAGTCTGCAGGAATCGAACCGCACAAATTCACAGCAAGTTCATGCTTCCTCATAGTAAATTAGTAAATGCCTTCCACTCATTCCAGTCAGGGTCCATTCACAGCATTGAAGAGTATTGAGGCGGGCTCCTGTAATGTAAACCAACAAAGCTAGATCATGTTCCCACGGAAACCAGTGGGTTTTCCGCATCTATTTCTTCAAACCCCAGGGTACAGGGCACCACTCCAGAAAGGACTAACAGTGGTGGGTCTTCCATTCAAGCTCAGCTTAAGGCTTTTCTGGGCTGGACATGTGACAAGTCATGGAGTACAGTTTGTAAAAGTGTCTATTGTGACTCAACCAGCTGGAGACTCATCCTCCCTTAGAAGCCCTGGATTCTTGCACCAAGCCATGAACCCAGCGAAATTCCCACCTCCAATTTTGAATCCAAGTCCATCATGAAGAGGGACACCTGGCACCCAGTACGGGGAACGTGGCGCTGTTGCTACTACAAAGAGCCAAAGTTTGACCCTTTCTCCCATGCTCTGGGAATCAAATCCTGAAAATCCTATGGTCGATCATCGTTTTCATTCATTTTCCCCATGAAACGGCCCAATAACTGGATGCAAATCCCCGATCTTTTTAGGGAGACAAAGCGTGACTCACTTCCCGCCTGCTCAGGTGGCGGTGGAAGTTTCCCCACGAACCGCCCCAGTATATCATGCAGCTGCCGGGACAGCTGCTGAGCATTCGATTGTAGGCGATGCAGCGTCCTGAGACAACGAGCGCCCGAGAGAAAGTATTGATTTTTTGGGGGAAACAACTAACAATGACAATGTGTGCATTACCCTCTCGTAAACTAACATAGCTATGGAAAATCACCATCTTTAATGGGAAAACTCACTATTTCTACGGCCATTTTCCATAGTTATGTAACAAATTACCAGAGGGTAACCATGAGTAGCGAGTTTCATGTCCAAAACTGGTGGAAGTAGGCCACTCTTGACGTAATTTTGGAGTCACCATACCTCCATCGCCAAGGCGCAGAAAGCCTGAGCCTCCCTTGATGTTCTTGGGTGGCACGATAGGCCGCGCGGCACAACCCTTGAAGTGGAGCCGAAGCGATCCCAGCCTGGTGCATGAGATTTCTTGAGCCACCTACCTTCGATTTGCAGCTTTCACTCAACAGACCTGGCTAGTGACTCCACCTAATCCGACCAATCAAATTAAACCAATGACTTAAATGTGTCAAATGAGCAATGTTCGAAAACCTCTGCCGTCCCTTTACACTGGTTGGTTACGTTGGTCAATAAGATTTCCCAGAGTGGGTTGTGATCATCCCGAGAAAAAAAAAAAAGGTAGTATTGCCCCCTACAAGGGGGTTTTGAACACTGCTCAAATAACTTCATCGAATCGAACTGAAATCTGGTGCAACTTCGCCCAGTCACTGCATGGTCTGCTTGCAATGCTTGCATTCCACCAGTCCTCAGGTCGCACGGATCCACCTTGGGATGTTTGTTTCAGGGGGTTGACCACATTGTTGTGGCTCAAACAGCGAAAAAGCTTTGGGTCATAGATTTTGGTCCTTCAAAGCCTGTTTCCACCGCACCAGTGGTTGGGCATGCGATGGCACTTTAACACAATCCAACCTTTCTAACGCATCTTGCACCCACAAATCCGAGACCGTTCACCGGCATTGAAATTGAAATGAACAATTCATTGAGTCAATAGAGCGAAATTCGACCCATTGTATACAATCTTGTACCCCGAGCGCCCACTGGAAGACATCAACCCATCCAAGGGCAGCTATGTTGCAGCTCCATTCATGATGGACATATCAACCATTTTTTGAACATAGATAGAATATCAGAATACAGAATATCTATTCATATTTCAAGCGTCATCATCAGAGTGTGTATTTATCATGTATTTATCTACGTTTATTTATCTGCTCACTGTTTTTTCATAGAAAGATTGTTGTTGTTGTTGTTGTTGTCGTTGTTGTTGTCGTTGTTGTTGTTCGTATACCACGGTATCCACACCTTTCGGGACTGCGACCGGAAACGGCTTCATCGGAGCGAAGGCTCGGAGCTTGCACTGCTTCGGATGCGTTGGCGGCTCCAACTCCCCACACCACTCACAGATGATGGGTTCGCGCAGCGCCCGCTTGCTGCCTCCGCCTGCCCGATGCCGGTGCCCGATGGTGCCCGCGCGATGATGCATCTGATATGTTCTGACTTTAAGCTTCGAGGTCCTGTAGACCCTGCGCATCAAGCAGTATATAGGTTTGCTTTTTTGCATCTCTACCAACCACTTCATGCACCTTCAAATACCTCCGGGATTGCAAGCATCCGATACCCAGCCTACGCTCGATGCGTGTCTTAACATCATCGGCCTGCAGAGTCGGCCGAGCCACTTTGGTGCTAAAGCCCACGGTTGACCCATTGGATCCGAATCTTAGAGGCATGAAGCTAACATAAGCTAACCATATGGACCATATGTATATGTGTGTGCTGCGGGCCAAATCCTCCAATTTGCATGCCGCTGATATAATGATCACATAACAAGGCCTGGAATCACCATTCCAACAAATAAACTTTGGGGCACCCAGAAGCGTGCAAAAACCCATACGCTCAATCCAACAACGCTGATTGAGCCATGTGGCTGTTCCTCTGACTCGGGCGGAATGATCCTTGGATGGGCCACGTTTACAGAGTCTGCGCTGGTTTAAGCTTACAGAAATTCACCCCAGTTAGTGGCAAATAGAACACACCTACAGACCTACAGCTCTAGCTTGTTCTCAGCCGAATGTAATTTTGGCAGCTTCAACTTCCTTGTCATTGTCCACAGACTGGTCAAAGTAAACTTGAGAGGGGGAACACGAAAGGTAGGTAAGCAAGAAAGGAACCGAAGAAAAAATGAAGGGGAGAGGGCAGGGAAAAAAAATAAAGTGGAGTCTGGTAAAAGCGACGCGGCCATTTTCTTTCCAAAAATATAAAGGGGAGTCTGGTAAAAGCGACTGAAAGGCTTCGGCGATGTGGTTGGGGTTGGTGGTGGTTGTGGTGTTGGTGGTGTTGGTGGTGCTGGTGGTGCTGGTGGTGTTGGTGTTGTTGGTGTTGTTGGTATTGGTGTTGTTGGTGTTGTTGGTGGTGGTAGTGTTTTTGGTGTTGTTAGTGTTGTTAGTGTTGTTGGTGTGGTTGGGTTTGTTGGTGGTGTTGGTGTTGTTGGTCGTGTTGTTGGTGTTGGTATTGTTCGTGTTCGTGTTGTTGTTGTTGCTGTTGTTGTTGCTGTTGTTGTTGCTGTTGTTGCTGCTGCTGCTGTTGATGGTGTTGTTGTTGTTGTTGTTGTGGTGTGTTGTTGTGTGTTGTTGTGTGTTGTTGTGTGTTGTTGTGTGCTGTTGTGTGTTGTTGTGTGTTGTTGTGTGTTGTTGTGTGTTGTTGTGTGTTGTTGTGTGTTGTTGTGTGTTGTTGTGTGTTGTTGTGTGTT